GTGCGCGAAGCCCATCACGTCCACAAGATGTACCACGAGGGAAACTCCGAATGCTATCAAGAACAACACGGGTGGAGGCTGAGAGGGCCTCACAATCCACATCTAAACGAGGCAGTGAGGGAGGAGGTGAAAGGGGGTGCTTAGCCTGCAACTCCTCAAGTGTGGCACCTGTATAAGGGGCAACGCCAGAGGAAGAGAGGACCCTAACCGCTGCGGTATAATGGCCATCACAAATCTTTCTCTTACACTGGTGCAGACTACTCTCGACCAAATCCAAGTCATCATCGCCTACACCAACCCAAGAGGAAGAAGGCTCGGCCAAAGTTTCCCTGACCAGAAACATCGGTCCTCCAGGTTCGCCCCATGAACGAATAGCAGCGGTAATGCTCTCTTCTTGCCTTTGACGTTTAGTACCGGACTTGCACTCAAGGCAACTTCGGGGGCGAAAGGTCCTGAGGATACAAATTGGTAAAACAAGCAAACTAACCCAGCAAGAGAGATCATCTGGCTTACAAATGACCTTGTCGAGAGCGCCGATCAAAACACGAGAAAACCCCAAGCGGCACTTAGGAGGTATAGATTTTGTAACACCCCGACTTATCAGAGTAAATTTTTTTCGCAACTTATTTCAAAAATACTTACAAATTTTTGAAATTCTTCTTAACTCGGGATGCTACTAAACTTATCTACTTTAAAATCTGTTTTCTTTAAACTTGATCTAATAACTAAAATAAACAGATTTTAAATATTGAACATATATAAAAACCTTACCCGTTCTTAACTACAAACCAGTAATTTATTCAAATCACAAATATAATCACACACGTTCAAACTTTTAAAAACATAGCGGAATATCTTACAAGCATGGTTTTCAAACCGAAACCTTATTAAAATCCACACAAGAAACTTAATCAATCCACGACCACCACAGCTCCTCACACCTCCGCACCATCTTTGTTTCCTGAAAATGATAATAATGGGGCGTGAGTACTACTCAACTGTACTCCGCAAAAACTCATACTAAAAGTAAACATTAATAATAATATCAATATCATAATCATAGGTATATATATATTCTACTTTTCCGGACCTTTAAACCCGGTAACTTTATACTTTTAACTTCTTTACTCTTGAATTGATAATCGTGTGCACACTCCGATGGTTAAAGTCTCCATCAGAACTCGGGATGGCTTATTAAGGACTCTGGCCTCCACCCAAAGCGGATAAACTTAAACTTATATACATACCTTTGAATACGATAATAGCTATTATACTCAATGAAATACCCAGTCTGGGTCCCCACCTTTCTTCTCGAAATTGTGTGAAAATGTAAATGTTGTTCTCGAAACCAACTTGTCACGCTACATGAAAATATAAACAAATATACTAAGTACTATGCTCGTATAACATTCTTATCCTTACTATTTACTTACAACTTTATCACTTACACAAATAATACATACTATTTCTCAAATGAATACATTTAACAACTTAAATCTTCTCAACTTTTTCTCAATGCCAAAAACATAATTCATATTAATCATGCTTTTAGATAATAGCTTGAAAGTAAAAATACTCAAACTTCACTTAACATATCAACTTTTATCAACCTCATACACATGATTTATAAGGATTTAAAACTATCAAACTGGGCTTAAACATGCTTGGTACTAAAAATTCAAATTTAAAGCATATTTATCTCAAGTGTTAATCATAACATGAAAATATGCTATTTACATGCAAAACTTCAATAATTTTATAATATCGTATAATCTACATATTAAGATGAAACATGGTCAAATTGTTCATCCCTCATGTGAGAATTTTAAATAAAAGTTTCATGTTAAAAATTCAAACTTGGACTGAGTACTCATGCATCTAAAATCATCTTGACATATATGGGGTATAAATATTTTAACTCATTCATTTCTCAACCTAAAATCATGAAATTTGGCAAGCATGATATCAACACATTCGTAGACATGTCATAAAAAATTCATAATTTTATCATGCATATATCTCAACTTATTTCCATTCAAAGTTACTGCTGGAAACATGCACATAAAATTCAGCTTGCCTGATAAACTTTTAAAAATTTATAACTCGAGCTATACTTAACCAAAAGACATGATTCTTGCTCCTATGTACTCATAATTTACAAAAAAAATAGCCATAATAATTTTAATATACCAAGTTATACATATCATGCTTAATTCGAAATCAAACAACACATAACAATCATGCATACGATCTAACATAACTTCTTACTTCATGACATGATTATAAATACTTAAAGGCTGGAACTTTAACACATTCTAACATATATTAAGGCACTTTAAATTATCTATAAATCATGCTAAAAGAATGACTTATTACCTTCTTCTTCTTGCTTGAAAATAAAATTTGCACTCGAAAATTGATTCTTCACCTCTCCAAAATTCCCACAACTTATTTCTCTCTAATGAGTTATATTACTCTTTAAATGTTTCTTTGATGAAAATAATCTGATTTAAGGCCTCTATTTATAGCCACAAAAGAGGGGACAAGATGATTGAGTGAAGAAATAAACAAAAATAAACAAACATAACTTATGAAAATTAATAAAGATAAAAAATGAAATCATAACTTGTAAACTTCCCTAATGTATAGTCAATGCTTAAAAATACCCCACAATGTGATCCTCATCTGATTGTCATTATATAATTCGTGAAATAAGGAAAAATCTAAAATTTACGGAACCGAAATCTGATTTAAAATGAACAGTTACCGTAAAATCGAAAATTCTGACAATTTCAGATTTCCTTCTTTTTCTTTTGGCATTTTTCCTTTTAATGCTAAAAAAACTTTTCTTATCTTGTAGTCTACTAAAAATATAAAAAGGAAATAATTTAATTTATTTTCCGGAAGTGAAATCGGACTTAAATTCCGACTACAATCGAAAACCGAAAACCTGAAAATTTTAAAACCTTCATATTTCTCTCTTACTAATTTAAATAGACTAAAATGTCTAAATAAATTATTTTACTCAAATGATTAATTTAGACACTCATATCAAATTAATCGTAAAACTTATCAGACTACTCGAAATAATTAATCCCTACTAATAAAATCCATTTGTAAAAGTAAACGAACTGGAACTAATTAATGAACTGGCTCGATTACTAAATAAAATTTAACCGAGAATACTTTCAACTTAAAGTCAAACTTATAACTTATAACTTAATAACTGATTGGGATATTACAGATTTCACCGTGCGAAGCCCCTTAGAAAATAAGCTATCAAGTAGGCCCACGTCGAAACCACACGGGGGATCATGCCAAAGGCCCGGAGCGAGAACAAGCTCAGCAGAACGAGGGGGCTCTGGCTTGGGGATATCATAAAGAACAAATCGGACAATACCATCCCCACAATCAGGGGGCGCCACAAAGTCAGATCCCCCATTATGACGACACTGCTTACGAAGAGCAGGAATTTTAAAACAAACTCCACAAAGCCAATGACCCATACGCTTAAGGGTGACCTCAGCCGCACTAAAAATATTGAGATTAGAAGTAAGGGCCTCTCTTGAGATAGCCAGCGCCTCACCCGTGAAATGCTTCTCCCGAAGGTGAACAAGCAAAGAGGCCTTGGTGAGCCCCTTACCACCCTTGTCCGTGCAACCACCAAGACCAACGAAGGGACAATGAAAGCAAAGGATGCTCGGCATGACAAACAACCAAGCAAAACAGCAGAAAAGCACACAAGCAACGAAACACCAAACCAACACGGCCGGAATCAGCAGGGCAGCAAACGAGGAAGCCGAACCCGACCGGAAAAGCGACCTGCGATAACAATCCCTCGTCCTCTCTCTCCAAAAACACGGCCAGCAAACCTAGACCCCTTTCTCTGTAAACGGGACCTGCAACCTCGACTTCTCTCCCCAATCACTACCTGCAGAGACGCCGTCGCTGGATCGTCATCTCCGACCTTCAATCGCGGATCGCCCGTCAATTTTTACTTTGCCGTAGCCCACAGCGAATTAGGGCTTTCACTATGAATTAGGGCTTTCACTATGCCGTAGCCCACAGTGAATTAGGGCTTTCACCTGTAGCGGATCACCCGACGTCCGACGCTGAATCGCCGTCGCCGGTGGTCCTTCAATCGCCCGTCGCCGATCGTCCCTCAATCGATCGTCCGTCTATCGCCCTTCCGTCAATCGCCCGTTTCTAATCGCCCGTCCTTCAATCGCCTGGAACACCGTCGCGGATCGCCCGTCGTGGAACACCGTCGCCTGGAACACCGTCGCGGATCGCCCGTCGCCTGGAACACCGTCGCCTGGAACACACGAGGCAAACTCGCCTGGAACACAGGACGATGCTATTATTATTATTATTATTATTATTATTATTATTATTATTATTATTATTATAGTAGTAGTAGTAGTTAATGCTATTTTTTTGCTATTATATTATATAATAGTTAATAATATTAATTTTTTTACATGATTACACTTAATAGAGTGTATTAATGTGAAATGCAAAATATGAATGACAAATTTTGTAACTTCTTTTGGAGGGAAAATAAATGAGGTTTTATTAATTAAGTTTTCTTTATGAGGTTTTATTTATTGATTAGCTAGCAATTATATATATATAGATATAGATTATTAGAAAGGTCATTTACACATGCTTTGATACATCCCCACTTGTTGGATCCATCGTGTATACTATATTTGCAAATCGTCACGTTCCTTCTCCCCGATCTGCCGGCAATTGCGCCGTCGCGAAAGAAGGCACAAATCCAGCGGCGGAAAGAAAGTTTCACCACCTTACGCCACCGTAATTAACCTTCATCTCGCTTGTTTTCCGACTTTTTTTTCTTTAACTCTATTTCACGTTTCTCTCTCTCTCTCTCTCTCTCTCTCTCTCTCTCTCTCTCTCTCTCTCTCTCTCTCTCTCTTAATTTGGCACGGCTGTTAAAGAAGAAAGGTTGGGTGATAGATCGACGAGATTTGCTTCCTATGGCGACCAACCCCAACCGGAGCCCAAACAACAATGCGAGTACATTGCTGTTACCCGAGATCGGGCCTGATGGCCTTGCACGAGAGTCACCTGTCATCGCTTACACCGAGAAGGTATTGCCTTCCTGTCTTTCGGATTTTTAGTTTATTTAGCCATTAACACCTTACGTCATGAAAAAACTGAGTTTGGTGGTGATTTTGTTTATTTATTTCAAATTGTGTTTCGATTTCAGATAATTGAGGAAGAACAGCTTCAGTTGAGGAAGTACGTTGGTTTCTTCACCATTTCAGTAATTCCGTTTATATTTTTTGCCACAATATTGTGTCCTTTAGTTATATTTTGCCATACCAGTTTTTGGATTGAGGTTCTCGAGTTTTGGCTTAATTGTACATAAGTGACCTCTGTAACAGTGTACTTCGCTGCATTTCAAATTTTCTGAAGTATTTATGTTGTGTATTGATTAAAGTTTGTGCTTCAGATGATCCTTTGGTAATGCCCTTATCATTTGGAAATTTCAATTGTTCGGTCTGGTAGAGGATCTAGGTTTGTATTGAGGATTATTTGCAGTGTTATGTATTGAGGATAATAAACTTGATGGACACGGGATATGTAGGAGTCGGTAAAAATTGTTCCACAATTCATAACCATTTGGGAAATATTGCATGCTGCTCATTTTTCCCAAATGCCACTAGCAATGTTGATCATCAGAAATTTTAAAAGTCAGAAATGATTACAAGGTCGGTACAGGCAATATAAGAAGCTAAGATTTATTGTGTTCCCCCTCTCCTTATTCTATGCAACTGAAGTTCATAAAATTAGTTGCAATTCAATTCTTGTAAGAGTGAAAGTAGGTGGTGTCGAAGAATTTTTACACTTTACGTGCATGGGAAATCATTCACTATCATTTCATGTACAATAGGTTTGAGTCCAAACAATGCTTACCTGGATGAGAGTCAAAATAGCAAAGCAAAATTAATTGACCTGTTCTCGCCTGCTAAAATAGTTAATTGTCCCCAAAACAGTAAAGTGTCAGGGTTTCGGTCAAAACTTGGGTCATCTTCGTTTCATAGGATTTCCTTTATTTATCAAGGAAACTATAGGATTGTCTTATTTTTTAATTTTCTATGGCCATGGACATGGGGCTACTTATTTCTGTAAAATTGTGTTACCTTTACCGGCTAATTAAATGCCCAGATATTTTTTCACCTTACCTAGTGGTAAAATAATAGGTTAATGTACTACTCAGGTACATTGAAGAAAATTATTCAAAGATTCGTGATGTTGAGCGGGAATTCGCAAACCTAACAATGGAAATGAAGCTTACTGCTGGACCAAAAAAAGCAGGTATGTATTTTGCTGACTATAAATGACTTCTGACTAGCTTTCCAGGTAGTTGTTTAATTTTTTTTCTATCTTTGGCAGCACTTGAACACATGCGGAAGAAAATAGAAATGTCAACAGAGAGAATTCGTGTTGCTAAACTGAAAGAAGAACAAGCCAAAAAGGTATGTCCTCTTATTGTGAGAGAAATGAGGAATTTTGGGGTAAAATGTTATTCATGTGATGGCCACGACGCAAAATAACTCTTCATATTTTCTTGACTTGCAGAACTAGATGTATGGTAGACCTTTGATATATTTACTATCTAATACTCGGTTCAGTGAAATATATTTACATTTACCTTATATAGGCATTCAAATCCCGTATATATGTTCCGTAGAATAGATTTGCATTTGCTTACGTTCTGTTTTTTTTTTCTTTTTTTTTTTTTTCTTTTTCGCTCCTTTGCAAATCTCATTGTTTTCCACATCTTCCAATATGTCGATTTGGTTGTTGAAATTTTATTTTGTGTTGACAAATTTATATTTAGAAAATACCTAGCAATAATCTGAACAATAATAACTTTTTTTCTTCTTCCATATCCAGCTATAAAATTGCTGTTTTATGATCTATTTTGCTTGGTTGACATGGTTGTGATTCACCAGGCTTTAAAAGAACAAGTCTATTTCTCCCGTCTCGTTAATTTTTGTTTCTAGATCTTAATGCGGTTTCGAACCTCTTCTGTGGTGCTTTCTTATTTTGATCGATGTATGCTGTATTTTGGCGAAAAGATACTGTGACTATATGAGATGGTTAAATTAAGCTCTACTAATAGTTTTTGTGATTATGGTTCCTGGTATATTTCAATTGGAAATCGAGGAACTACACCATATATTTATAAATCTTTTAATTTTCTGTTATTCTCTGTTTGCCATACTATGTTGAGGTTCTCCTGTGTGATTCTGTTTTTTTGTAGATTTTTGTGTCTCTTTCCCTTTTCTTATTCTACTAAAACAAGTAGTCAAGTACATTCGTTTCTATTTTTGTTGCTATATCTGATAAATGTTCTTCCGATTGCTAGGCCTGGGAAGCCGCAACAAAAGTCGTGCAGGATGAGGAAGCAGAGAAACAGAAGCTCTGTGAAGATTTGAATAAACTGGTGGAAAAAATTATAAAATCATATCCTGTTTATTTTACGTTGCGTGTCGTAAACAATATTCTTTTGCAGGTCCAAGAAAGTAGCAACACCCAGCTTTCTAGATTGGAGGAATTAAAACGCCGACTGGAGGCTCTGAACCCAAGCAGGATGTCTACATCCGTTTCTTCTGTTAGTTTATCCATACCCATCTACCTTCATCAATGAGTTTTTTAATAATTTGGTCCTACCTTTTGTCCTGTTCATCCTGTAGATCTTGAGTTTATCTTTCCTAATCTCTTTTTAGACTGCTTCATATTTCTTATTGATATAGTTGTTTGTCTGAGTTTCTTAAATTCCAAAGTCTGACAAAAACAATTGAAATGTATACCATCTACTCTCACTATATTAACTTACTATTAACATCGTTTCAGTTTTTAAATTAATAATTTTGCTTTTCAAACTTCTAGTAAACTAGTAGACATTCAAAACACGCCCACTATATGAACTTTTAGTCCGACACAAGCCCAATCTATTTTTTCCAAAGTTTCTAGGATTAATCGAATTAATACTCAACAATGATTGTTAAATGATAACATCAACCAGTGTCTTTATAATTCCATTTTCTTTTGATGGTTGTTGCATGCAATAGGCTGCTGTGCTCACCACATTAGTAAATTAACCGGCTGTCGTTATTGTTTGCTTACAAAACAAACGTATGAGACCTGTTTGCTTTATCTATTTCACTCACCTAAGATCAATACTTAATGAACCATTATCCAAGAATTTTTATGACTGGCCAAATCCCATTTTTTAGGACGAGAATCTGAGACATATGCCGGCTAGTATAACTCAATATTCATCCATTGCTCATACATCAGAACTTTCCAGTGGATCAATAAAATCCACTGTCAGCGTAGGACACACAGCCGTGAATGACCAAATCCCACTCGTTTCTAACGATGGAGAGGGAAGAGGGAAGAAGAAAAGCTCTATTCAAGGGAGAGTTAAAGGAATAGGAGCAGTGCCTAAGGGTAGGGGTCCCGGTTGGACTGGGGCTGGTTTTGATGTCGATGGTCGAGGCTGATTGACATATAATAATGAGATATTGCTGTCACCTTCTTTATAAGTAGTGCTTATGGAGATATGCTGATTTTCAATCGGGTGTTTCTGCAAATATCCAATTTGTTCACTTTCATTATCAGAAGGTCTCCTCTCTGTCATCACCCGCTTATTCAAGGTCAGTAAAATTTAATGTCTTGTGATTTTTTTTTTTAAACGGGAACTAATGCTGACCGTTTGTCACAATTCATAGACGTTTATGTAAATAGATAAGGGAACCATTTGTGTAATGCATTTGTAATGACTATTACAGAAACTTTGAGTTCGAGGTTTTGTTATAAACACCACTTGAGGTTTGTATCCCTTAATTCTCTTTCTTTTGAGCTTGCGTTTTCAATAGAGAAACAGACGCTAGGATAAAACGTAGATGTGGTTTTCTTGTTATTATTTTTTGTTATTGTTAAATGCAAACAATGCAATTGTTTTGTGATATGTGCTTGTATATGTTTAAGAGAGATCCAGCAATGATTTCAGCTTCTCAAAATTATCATTGCCAGTTTTTCCTTAACAAAATATTGAGATGGAAAATTATTACATATTTGGTGAAGAAGTTTCAAGTGATATCTTAGGGCTATTGAAGTGCTAAATTACATTTCATCATGAGCAGTCCCTGGAGGAATGTACACATTCAGCTACCTTTACGAAAAGTTTGGTCGTATTTAGATCCTCGGAAGTATTTCGAAAGACCATTCATCTTTTCTACTGTTATAAGTAAAATAATGAACCATCATGATCAACTTTTTACAATGTTATTATGGCACAGGCATCTATTCTCAGCAGGTGTTAGATTGATTTATAAAATATCATATTGAGCAACTTTAACAACCACTCTCCATAAATCTCATTTTACTTTTGTCAAACATGTCACATCATTTAAAATCACTGCACATATAAACTTCCAATAAATAGGGTGTTGATATTTACTGCTCTCTTTATTACTACGTACCGCTCTCCTTAGACAGTTTCGCCACTAACATTTTTTCTGAAAAATTAAAAAAAGTGTAGCTGTCCGGCCGGCAAAATCGGGCGTGCACAGTGCCGGATGCAATAGTCGGTAAGACGTGACCGTGCACGTCTGCGATCGCCGGTGGGACGTGACCGTGCACGCCCGCGATTGTCGGCAGGATGCGGCCATGCATGTCCGCGATCGTTGGCCAGACGACATATTTTATTTTCTTAAATAATTAATTTTTTTATTATATAAATTATAAAAATAATAATTTTAATTTATAATTAGTTTATGTCATAGATTAAAATTATAACAAATAAAAGTTGTTGCTATAAATTTGTAACAAATAAAATTTATAACAAATAAAAATTAAAAATTTTTAATTACTTTTTATAATTTATTTAGTTTTTATAATTTTATGTTTTATTTAGTTTTTATAATTTTTATAATCTATTTAAATTTTAATTTTTATAATTTTTAATTAGTTTTTACAAATAAAAATCAGTGTTTTGTGACCTGGACCGGCCCGAAGGGTCGACCCAGAGCCGGAACCGGTCCGATTGGGCTATTTGGATCGCCCAACAACTGACCCGGTCAAACCCGGTAAAAAACTGGCAGGCCTGGCCTTGACCCGGTCGACCCAGGGCATTAACCCGGCTGGGTCAACCCGGTTGACCCGGTCCCTATATTATTATTTTTTTTTTAATTTTCTTTTTCTTTTTAGAAAATAAAACTATGTATATATATTTATATGGTAAATATATACATATTATTACCACTTTACTTTACAAATTTTACATACAAAACATTTGATTTTGTTATTTTTATGTATATTTTTATATCACAAAATAATCTATATATAATTTTATAAAATTTAAAATTTATTATCCGATTCAGCAATTGACCCGGTGACCCGGCGGTTGAACCGGTGACCCGGAGACCTGCCCGGGTCGATTACCGGGCCTAATTTAAAAACTATGATAAAAATTTTCAATTTATAATTTGTTATAAAAATTATGACAAATAAAAATTTATAAATTTTTTTATAAATTTTTTTATATAATTTTTATAATTATAATTTTTATAATTTATATAATAACAAAAAAAAAAA